AAAATAAGTAATATTAATCTATGGGACCAAATAGAAATGATATTACACATGAAGCTACATATTTTGATAATATAACCAAAAAAATATATCTTAAATTGGTTTATTTTTTTGCAAGGACTTTGATTTTTCCTTTGCTGATACTCAAAATTAATTTGTTCAGTTTAAACTACTTACAGCTATCCAGACATATATATATATTTCTGGTTGGTAATTAATTTTCAACTATTTTTTTTAAAAATTAACCAAATATAATGGTACGTAATATTCACAATACTGCATTACAATGTGTTCAGTCACTAACAACACCTCCATTATATATTAACTCCTAGTACTATATTTTTACTGACCAATTATTTCTTATAACATTTTTTATATAGATCTGTTCCATTGATATTTAACAACAGTTTCGATTTTGGTTGTCCATCTCAACATTGTATTTTAAAGCTAAACAAATATCATGTAAATGATGTTGTTAATAATAATATTTATGAACTTCAAAAAAATTAGCCTGAGATGATGTAAGTAATTTATAGGTTCATCCACATATGCAAAATTTTTAGCGATTCATCGATTAAAGTCATTTTGTGTTGAAAACTCTACATCTAAGTAAAAGCAATAATTATGTAACTTAGAGATAAATTCCGAAAGTTCTAGTAAGAAGTCGTGACTTGATGAAATTCAAGTATATCAGGAATGAGACTAGTATCACTGATAACTTAACTCCGCCTGTAGCCCTTCTAAGGTAACTTCCATTTTCAAGCAGGGATAAAAGAGGAAGGTTGAAGTTAGCAACCTCACTACATAGAAAAAAAACGCTGACCATAAAAAATCACCGATAAAATGGGTATATTATTGTATTGAATCATGAATCAATGAAGTTAAGAATATAAACTATCATATACTTTCTCAGGAAGCTCATCTTGAGCACATAATGTTCATTTGCTCAATCATCAATGGGATAACGTTTATAATCCTGAGTAATGGTGAACCAATCCAAAACATCTGTCTAGTTCTTTTTTAACTTTCAGTGATTCACTAACTGAAGTCAGTTTGTGATTAAACTATCTTATGATTAAAGTTTTTTGTATTCCATTTACCTTTCCTAACACTAAAACTTAAATTTCCTTTATAACAAGAAAATTCTCATTTAAGTTACTTATTGTAACCGAAACCATTAAATCGTTCTTATAAAACAACAATTAAATGTTAAAATCAAGAGTGAGTTGAAGCTAGACCACCACAGAAAACCTGAAAGCACTGGACGGCCGTTTCGTTTTAGTATGGGACTCCTCAGCAGTGCGCATACACGATTTCATCCATGATTTCAACCATTGATATTACTAAAATCTCCACAAAACCCCTTGTGACAATTAAATATTAATCAACTGATAATATGAAATAATATGATTTTGTCTGAGAATAGTAATTTATAAGATTACATCTACAGAATCACTGCATTCATCGATGTATACAGGCAAATAGACGAGCTGAAAATCTCTAGAAGTTTATAGTAATCAAGAACAGAACAAACACATGGATATTAAAGTAGTAAGAATTAAACATTGTGGAGTTCAGTATAAATGTAGAATTTTTTTTCAATATGTAACAATTAATATTTAACCTAGTGAAAGAAAATTGTAAGAAGAAAAGAGAAAGTGAAAAAAAAGAAAGTGGGAATAAATAATGATGACGACCAGTGTTGATGCAAATATGATTAGAAATGGTTAGATACATGATCAAATGACGTCAAGTAGTATAAGAACGTCATTAAAGTTTAATAAATTGAAAGTTTTGGATAGTTAATTAGTTTTCTACTTCTTTTTTTACAATAATCTTGTAATTGATCATTAAAGTTGTTATTGATTTCTTGAACATATCTAACATGGTTACAAGCACGAAAATGATTCTAAAGTAGTACAGAGAAATTATTTTTGAAAAAAACCTTGAATTTTCGTAATTTTAGGTTCGCATATATTTTTTCTAAATTGATTGTATTGGTTTTTACTTCGTGTCAACTTTATGCTAACCTGTATAATTTTATCTCACTGTTCCAATGTGTGATGTTAACTTGAACCGATGTGTCAAGTATTATGTTCCATATGATTGATAGACTAATCTGTTACTGAGTAGTTAATAAGATTATGTTTTCCAGACCTCAGATTTGGCTGATTCCTATTAAATTCATTTGAAATAAAGTCACATTTCATTATGATTCGGAATCTCAATGTACTTTGACTAAAATTATAGAGCTAGAGGTAAAACTAACTATTATAAACAAGTCAGCTTAGTGGTAACGTCTATGACTATGATACTTAAGGAGGTGTATTCAAACCTATAAAGTCGCAGGGCCCTTTTTTCAATGCAAGCCAATCAATATAAAAATTAGATCTACAGTTAGTCCATGTCTGACTGTTATAATCTGAGATTTTCTACTCTTTTCCAGTTAAGCTCATCAAGCTCGCATTGACTTCATTCCATTTAAGTGTTTTTTGTTAAAAAAAAATAAAGTAAAATCCATCGAATTCGTAACTAAGAGTTCTTACTAAACACCTTAAGGAATAAAATATTTTATGGACCCTTTAAAATTTGAATATAGTTTGCTTATTAACAGCAAAATCTTTTACAATTACATCAACCACTATATTCATTATTAAAACGTTTATTATTCTGATAATCAGTAACCAAAATATTTATATGTAAATTAAAATACATTTGTTTAGGTATTTTTATTTGAGGTATCTTTTAAATTTAATCATCAGAAGTTTCTTCATGCATCATAATATAGTCTTCAGGTAATTTTAACTCTCTTAGTACAATTTGAAACAATACTTTGCCAATGTTCTTTATGTGTGACAGAAACGTTGCAGAATCATGAATGATTTTAAGCACACATTCCTGAAAGGAATAACAGCGTGGTTGGATCAAATCTTTTAGCTAACTTAAAAATTCCATAATGTGGTCCTTATAAAATTCGAGTAAATATTGTCAATTTAATTATATAATGATAATAATAATGTCTTACTAGTAATATCCTAGGTTAATTTGAAGAATATCATTCCTTCTTTAAAGAAGCAACCTACATTAACTCATGAGTCATTAGAAATTAAATTTTCTATTCATTGGGTTATTATGAATAACATTACTATTGTATTAATGTAAATAGTAATAGTCAATATATTTAAACCTTCATCTTGATATAACACTACCTAGATCTATCAATGAGACTAGCCGTTTCCCATTCATTAAGTCAGATCTCGTTAACAACCAATACAAATTCTATTGTGATCCATGCAAATAAGGAACAATTATTTTGCCACTTACTACATATATATATCGAGAATTAATGTTCATTTTATTGAAACGTTTTGTAGTCAAGAAGCAACGAGTAAACGAAAGCTCTTAGAAATGTGTGATATTCGTAAATTCCTCGATGCACTCTGAAGTGAATAAACCTGAAAACAGGCTGAACAATGAGCTCATCCGCTACTATAAAAAGAATTGTAGAATATAAACGTTAAAATGGCAGTGCAAAAGATTGTGAATACCAAAGCATAGGAATTGAATGTGAAGATTATGGTGACATATATTCAGTCATTTTTGTAACAACAAAAATAAAAACCACATTTTTTCTCTTATTTGTAACCACATTTTATCCAATATCTGTTGTTTTGCTGTATCACTTGTTAAAAAGATGATGATAATTGTTTCGATGAATGATATACGATTTTACTACCGCGTTGTTTAAAATATAGAACACTATCTACGCCGTTTGTTCTTCTGTTTTATTGGCCACCGTTTTGATTGAAGACTATAATAGTATTATAACGTCATTATAGGCCTTCCGACTCAACGTTGGACTTTTGGCGCGGATTACTATTGTATAATACTATTGGATTCCATCTTCCTCATTACGTCATTGGTGCAGTCACTTGCAGAGGAACACCTGTCAATCAAGTGAACTCAGTTTGTGGTCGTTGTTCTCCCGAGGCAGTTCACAAGTAACATTCATTCTATAGTAGCTGTTAGTGTCTGTTTGTTTAATATACCTTTTGTATTGCTAACGGTATTTTGTTACCTTTGGTTTTACTAACGGACATACATCTAGGTTTCTTTACTATTAATTTTTTTTGGTATATCACTATTAACCTAGTGTATCAATATATTTTGTGTAAGCTTCTTTTGTTTGGGAACCACCACAAGATCCACATAAATATGGACTACTTTTGGAATAAACGAATGTTAGTACTAACTCCTCATATATTTTTTGGGTAATAAAGTCCATAAAACTCTCAACAATTTGGTTTTAATGTTTATTACACAACATGAGGGCCAAGTAGATCATGAAGTTATATTAATTTAAACACCTAGACGTTCCACTGTTTAATACAGGAAAATTTGAAATGCATTGCCTACACAGAATAGGAAATCCGATAACCCTACCCTCTGGTTTAATGATTTTTTCTAACCACAGGTTATCAGATGAGTTTTGGCGCTTAAATTCAGTTGCTACAAAAGTACATCAACGATGGAATTATACTCAATGATGTGACGTCAATCTAATGTATCTCAAACCAGAACAATGATCATATCATATGAAAAATGAGCATAATAACACATATTCTTCCTACTACTCTCTGACCGCGGCCCATCGGACTTCTTTTATGATCGAAACAACAAACATATACTACATACTGGTATCATATTTCCTACCTTTCAATGTTGAGCGTGGCATACTTTTAATGACAAACCTTCTTCAATAGATTGATAACATCTCTGACTTGGTCCCAGGTTGCCGGATGCCTAAGTTTCATAATCCTTTCGAAAACATCACTGGTATACACAACTACTGGACGCTCAGTACTAGTTTAACTCCTTGATTGGATAGGGTTATCTATAATACTGCATAAAACAACAAGCCGGAGTTCATTTTCTTAGCACAATAATGTGCTTTTCAGATTTGTTTTTTTAAGTGACCACTTCAACCTCAAGGCCACTTAACTAGTCACAAAATCGAACCTGTGCGATGCAGGTCCCTTTTGTGGAATTCGTATGTGGTAATTTGGATCCTAGTCCATGGCACGATGGAGTTGTTGGTGTTTGCTGGTTTGAAGTATACGTTTATATCCCTTTGACTTTATTGTGTACAATCATCTCATTCATTTATTGCTTTGTCATGTGGCGGCACTTAGCATTTGACAGTTTTTATTGTTCAGTCTTCTATTTTCGAGTGGCCATAGATATAACAATCGTTACCAGCAGTGGTGTGATTATCGTTCTCGGGTTTCTTCTTCCATACTACGAGGAGGGGTTTTCTATTAACTCTCGTTTTTTTGCAATTCACAGTTTCATAACAGTAATACTCTGGATTACAACACTAATCCTTGATTATCTCCATGGTAAAGCCCTCAAATATTCTTCAAGGGGTTCTGGGATTCATCTTTCGTTTTCAATAATATACTTTTTTTGCTTAGCTATAAACTGCTGGTCTTTTCGTAGAGAAGTGGATGCGCTATGGAGACCATATGTTATTGTTAATTGCTATATTCAATTACTCCTGTTATGTCTGCATTTACTTTCCAAGGTCCCAGTGTTCTACCCCTCGGAAGAGCCTAGGCGCAGAAGGGCTAGGATCTTAAGACAAAATTCCAATAGCATCCTGTTGTCTACAAGTTATCAGTCAAATGAAATTACACAGAGACCCACTTCGCAAAATGTTAATGACCGTGAAGATTCGGCTTCATGGTTTTCAAAGTTATGTTTTTGTTGGGTTAATAATCTAGTGCGTAGTGGTTATTACGGAGAATTGTATTCACTCACAAATCTACCTTTGGTCCCTAAACGTCTGAATACATACACTTTGGAGTCAAAAGTCCCTAAATTAAAGTTGAAATCTGTAACTATTGATGAAACGATTAGACAAAGTCACGATATTTCTAACAAAGGGTGTTCTATCAAAGCTTGTGTTCCATTTTTAAAAGCATGTTATGAAGCATTCGGTCGTGAATTCCTGTATCTCGGTTTGCTCAAACTTTTACTTAGTGGCTTCGGTTTATGTGGTCCAGTAGTTTTAAATCATTTCATTCTAAACGTGACAAACTCCGAAACTCCCTCATGGTCTTGCATTCTTGTTGGGTTCGGATTAGTTTTTTTGTCATTGAAGATAGCAGTTTTGAGCACATCTTACAATTACAAAATGGCAAGTTTCGGCTTCAAAGTTAGAGTCAGTGTAACTGGGATGGTTTACAGGAAAATTTTATCCCTTAAAACTTCGTCACTTAATTGTGTTGGAACAGGATGTTTGGTTAATTATCTGACCTCTGATGCTGACAGAATAGTCAATTTCGCACCTAGTATTCACGAAGTGTGGGCAATGCCTCTGCAGTTATCTGTTGCAGTCGGACTACTTTACCACCAACTCGGGCTTGCCTGTTTAGTAGGCATTGGGTTTCTACTTGTGTTACTTCCTCTGAATCGTATTCTAGCAACAAAAATCGGGAAGTTTAGTCGCCGTCTGATGATGTTTAAGGATACACGGATTAAGGTGAGTGTTTCAACTTCTCATGTGTCCTAACTGTACTCGTTTTCTATATTGCTTTGAAGTGATCGGTCAACCCGAAGCAATTGAGGCTGTCTAAATATCAGTTACCTGCTTTCTGTTGCGAGCTTACTGTATAATTATAAACACCAATTAATAATTCACGATTACAAATAGCTTTTTCAGTTATTTCGTACTTGTTTCCTTAAAACCCCCTAGTTTCTGTTCTGTATAAAACCCCGGTTGCCTTAAAATTTGTCTTCTGTTGGGGAGATAAGTTGTAAGTTCACTTGAAAAAGGATTTTAAATTGTTCCTTTTTACCAAATTTTACCATAATATAAAAATAGTAATGTCTTGAAATGTTTCTACCCTATGGATTACCGCTTCTTTTGACTAAGATGTTCAGATATAGTTCACTACTAGTTAGCAACGTATCTAGGTAACACCAAATAACTTTTTTTATCTTTGGAAAACATATTCAAGGTAACATTTTTGTATTCTCGCGACATCTTTACTTGTCAATAAAATATGACTAAAAGTCATAGAGGGCTTCGATTTTCTGTCTTGTTGTTCCTAATCTCGTTATTCATGTAACTTGTCATCACTAATCGTTTATCTTAAAATCGGTCAATGATGCTTCCATGATCGCGACTAATCTTTTCTGTTAAAAAGGACTAAACCACCAAGTAACGCACTTGTGTTGCAATGAGTAATGTTGTGATTAGATTCAAAAAAGTATCACATAGGATGTTTTTCCATGTCTTCCTGAGATTAAAAAACAATTTGTAGGTAAACATGCACTTTGTTCAAATATGTCAAACTTTTATCCCATAAACAAGGTCTTCCAAAATTACTTTGTGTTCTCCCCAATGGAAAACTTAAGCAGTCATTTACCTAAACAATTTCTCTAAACGATTAGCATCCCTGATTTGGTAATATTAAGTTCGTTTACTTGATTATTTTCAGTGTATTGACCAAACTGAGCATATTTCTGCATGATAAATATTAACCCTGTGTATGCTCTCCCTTGAAGGTGTAAACTGTGTAGTTAACCCATACATTTCTGTGTGAAAATCTTTAGTTATAAATTCAATCAGTAAAGCTGATGCTCATGTATAAAAATTTATATGCAAAATTTCTCAATTCTCATTTTAGAAATTTTCTTGTGATATAATTTTGATACTAAATCTTACTTTGGTAATAAACATTATGATTGCTTTCTTTTCGAAAATTTAGTTGATGTCTGAAATTCTATCAAATACGCTTTCAGTGAAACTAGCATGTTGGGAGAATTTAATGAAAAATCGTGTCATGCATTCTCGCATTCAGGAGTTGAACGCTCTACGTGGTCAAAAGTTGTTGGACGCTTGTTGTGTATTCTTTTGGGCTGTCTGTCCTGCATTGTTAGCCAGTTCAACATTCGCAACTTATGTGGCTATCGGTAACGAATTAAAAGCTTCTGCGGTAAATATTCAGTTGCATTTATGTTATCTTGATGTTTTTAATTTAATCACTAATTGGTCTTAAACACAGCCTAGTATACATGATATATGTTAGGGTACACACCCAATTTAGATGCTAAGGCTTTTTTCGACGTTTCCTTCCGTTAATAATATCTACGTGTTTAATTTTAAAAGCGAATTTCAACACATCTGAATATATATGGGAAAGTAGACTCCCTATGCTCGGTTGGACATAACCACTGGGAGACGCTTTTCTTGCCAATCTATTATGCCACACCTGTCTTAAATAAGTGTCATCAACTTTTACGTTCCAAAAAGTAGATGCAACTTTTTAATGATTTGGTATCCCTGTATCTAATTTTCAGTACACTAGTTGTTTAAAAAATATATTTGTTTAAATCAGGTTATTCTCAGCGACTTCAGTTAATAATGCTCAATTTTCTGATTATAGTAGGTGAATGTTTTCAGTGTCAACTGACACTAATGACTATCTATGAATTTCAGTGGAATAATCATTTTGAAATACGTATCATATATTCGTTAAAAAAGGATAAAGTTTCTCACTGTTGTTTCTTAAAAACTCTACTTATCTGGCATATGGTTTTATTGAAAATTATTGGTGGTAAATTTTCAGTTGTGTACATGACTCAATGGTTAACTAAGTTGCATCGAATACCTTGGATTTTTTAAATTACTGTCATAGTCACTTGCCAGCATTCTCAAAATGATTTTCCGGTCTTATGTACTCCATACCATTTTCTATGGAATAAATTTCCCCTTAAATTTATCATTTTGGATCTTTTAAACTGATTCACACTGATATTGGTTTGTAAATTAATATCTGCTTATTATTTGAATACTAAATTACACTCTCTGTCTTCCCTTAAACTAAGAGATTAAAATCGCTCCATATCTTTTTTTCTACTAACTAATTCTTTCTTCCTGTACTATATCCTTATTGCAATCTTTATTTTATATATTACCACCTCTGAATTAACTACTTTTATGAATCCGATGTTTATCTTGTTGTGTTAATGAGGTATGGCAACTTGGACCGATGCATATATGTGCCTGGTCCTACGTTGTAGCTGACTGACTGAATACTAAATACTCGTCTTTTAAATATCCATTTAAATCTGCACATCCACTCAGTATCATCTTGTTCTCTTTAAGGTATTTTCTAGTCTTGCATTATTTGGAATGTTGATTGGTCCGATGAATGCTTTTCCTTGGGTTATTAATGGTGTTATGGAAGCAACTATTTCCATGCAACGTATTACAAAACTCTTCTATTTATCATCTGGTTCATTTTCATTAGAATTAACTGATACACCGCTCTCTGATGTTGGAATTCCAACAGATATTCCGATTGTTTGTTCTTTTGCCGAAAAATCTACTATCAGCATGCCAGTAAACATTATGAATGAATCATTCTATTATACTAACTGCGATAATTTAGTTTTAAAAAATATCACTCTCCAGGTGCAGTGGGTAAGTTAAAAGTTATTAGTTGATTATATAGCACCACTAAAATTCGAATCCCACTTTTGTAAGGGTTTAGATTTACATGTTGTTGTCATTTAGGAATGAATGATTATCAGCTTCTGTTGGGATATTTCAATCCAAAGGGGATACCTCAGTATTCCCTGTAGTTGTTTTGTTGTATTTTTGGGTTGTTGCCATCAGAGGTTACTTGCTTTTCCATGTACAGAACAATAGTTCATTTTATTGTACTAAGTGGCTGTAAAATGTGTTCGTTGATAACAGACTACTTAAGCTTACTGGTACTGAATTAATCAGGATCTTCAAAGTTTAAGTCATTTTGTTAGAACTAACATGTGCGTATTTGTAAAAGTTGGAAGCCAATCTATTGATGTAATGTTTTGGCTCCTGTCTACCTAAAGGTGATGTTTCCTAAATTATTATCAAGCTATCAAGCGAACTACTAGGGTCAGACAAAAATATGAATTCGAAGTTTTTAGTTGGTAATTGGAGTACCGAATAAGAAGTATATTTTAGTGGTATATCAATTTATATTGGTGCATCATAGTATCATACTCTATGTCAATTTAATCACCCATTCCACATAATTATTCTTCTTAACAACTCTATTACATTCATGATCACTTACAGGGACAATTAATCGGTGTAATTGGACCAGTTGGTTCCGGGAAATCATCTTTACTTCTAAGTATATTGGGTGAACTACAATCGGTTGTTTCAGAAGACGAACTTAGAAATGAAAGTATGAAAACGAATCCACGACTTCGATATGCTTATGTGGGACAAACTCCTTGGCTTCATTCTGGAACTATACGCGAAAATATTTTATTTGGCTCAGATTGTGATTTAGCATGGATGAACACTGTCATTGAAGCGTGTGCCTTAAAAGTTGATCTGGGTAAACTTCCGAATGGTTTAGACACAGATGTTGGTGAAGCTGGCGGAAACAGTCTTAGTGGAGGTCAACGGGCTCGTGTTGCTCTTGCTCGAGCTGTTTATCAAAAGGCCGATGTTTATCTTTTAGATGACCCATTATCTGCACTTGATGTTGATGTTGGTCAACAGATTATCACCAATTGTTTACTTGGTCTTTTATCAGGAAGAACTAGAATTATCGTCACACACCAGTTGGATTGGTTAATGAACACTGTAAGTAAAGATACGTTTCTCCAAGCAACTATGTATAGTATCATTTGTTTGTTTACCTTATATATTTCTCTCGAATTTGTCTTAATGTTCTTTTTATCTTTTTAGAAAATTGTAAATAAACGTGCTCAAGTGGATTTTATTGTTGAATTAAAAGATGGAATAATTACTCGAAAAATTCCAGGTAATCTTTACCCTGACAATGATGATAACGATCATATGTATCAACCCGTTCTTGACATCAACAGCAGTCCTCCTTATAATGAATCCACATTATCCAGTGATAATCATCATGACAGTAGTGAAAACAATAATAATTCGACGTTGGAAAATGATGATGTTCCGTTAATTACTATTAAAGAATACAGCAGTGTCAATCAATCCGAATTCAGTCCGAATTGTGTAATCAATAATAATAACAATAACAATGTGAATATAAATATGGAACATATGGCAGTCGGTTCCATTAGTCCCTATGTCTACAAATCGTATATTCATTCTGTTGGCTACTTTTTAACATTCTCCATTATTTTGTCTTTATTGTTAATGCAAGGTATGTGTTAATTGCGTTAGTTCATAATTAGGCTATTTAGTTTGTCGTGCGCAAATAAATTCGATAAGTTATTTTATTCATCATCATAATTCTACACTGATGACCAGCTAAGTGACTGATATCATAGAGGAATATATTTAGACATTTATAACAGATGCCAACTGAAATCGTCAACGTAACCTGAAGTATTTATTGCAAATTAGACCCAGTTGTTTTTAAACCTAAATTAGGATTTTTATCAAAAACTGTCAATTTCTCACCTTTCGTTTTTGATACTAAGGAATAACTAAATAACCGTGTGCACGACTTTCAGTCTTACAGGTCATTAGCCATAGTATATCTATAGCTTTTGGTTTGCAAGGTTAGTTAGCCGTAAGTCTTAGAAATATGAACGAAAGTAATTGTCAAAATTCGGAGTTTATGTGAAAACTGAGTAAATTAATGGATGCACATATCTACTGAGTTGTTTTGTTTAAGGATTTATACTAGTTAGAGATGGCTTTTTTCTTCCCATAAATTGAAGATTGCTTCACATCACAGTTTTACGAAAGTTAGTGATATATAGACCGGTCTTCGCTGCGAACGTTTTCTCGTGATCTGGCCCGTATAAGAAAGCATAGACCTCCTGTCTTAGACTCCTTACTGGTTGACCCCAGTAAGTGATATGCCTCGAAATCAATCTCCCTTACTTACTTACGCCTGCTACTCCCAATGGAGCATGAACCTCCGGCCAGCATTCTCCGATCCACTCTGTCCTGAGCCTTCCTTTCTAGTTCTAGACAATTTTCGTTCATTCTTCTCACGTCTGTCTGTCTCCATTTCTCCGAGTAATGTGTTCTTTGGTCTTCCTCTCCTGCTTTGGCATTGAGGATTCCATGTGGTGGCTTGCCTTGGGACGCAGTTGGGTGCATTCCACAATGTGTATTCTATCCACTTTCAGTGCCTCTTCTTGATTTCTTCCTCTGCTGAGATCTGGTTTGTTCTCCCACAGTAGGTTGTTGCTGAAAGTGTTTGGCCAACAGATCCGAAGTATTTTGCATAGACAAGTGTTAATAAACACTTGTATCTTGTGGATGATGGCTTCCGTAGTTCTGCAAGTTTCTGCTCCATACAGTAGAACTGTCTTGACATTTGTATTGAAAATTCTGACCTTAGTGTTGGTTGCCAGTTGTTTTGAGTTCCAAATGTTCTTCAGTTGTATATATGCTGCCCTTGCTTTGCCGACCCACGCCTTCACACCTGCATCGGATTCACCGTGTTCATCAATTATACTGCCTAGATATGTAGATGTTTTTACATCTTCCAAATCTTCTCCGTCAATTGTGATTGGATTGTTGTATGGTGTGTTGTATCGGCGAATCTTGCTTTTCCGTTTGTGTATGTTGAAACCTACTGCTGTTAAGTCTGCTGCTAACCTTGTCGTCTTCTTTTGCATTTGTTGTTGCGTTTGTGATAGGAGGGCCAGATCATGTGCGAAGTCAAAATCGTCCAACTGCATTCTAGATGTCTATTGTATCCCGTGTTTCCCTTCAGATGTTGACATCTTCATGATCCAGTCGATCACCAGGAGAAAGTAAGAGTAAGCAACCTTGCCTGATACCAGTCTTTACTTCGAACGAGTTTGTCAACTGTCCTCCATGCAAGATTTTGCAGTTTAATCCATCATAAGAATTCTGTATGATATTGACTATCTTCTGAGGCACGCTATGGTGTCGAAGAATCTTCCATAGTGATGTCCCGTCCACGCTATCAAATGCCTTTTCATAGTCAATGAAGTTGATGTAGAGTGATAAATTCCATTCAATTGATTGTTTCTCAATGATCCGTAGAGTTGCGATTTGGTCGGTACACGATCGATCCTTACGGAATTCAGCCTGTTGGTCTAGAAATTGGGCGTATACGGAGTCCTTCATTGTGTTTAACAATACCCTGTTGAAAACTTTTCCGGGTATTGAGAGAAGAGTGATGCCTCTGTAGTTATCATAGTTGCTGAGATCGCCTTTCTTTGGTATTTTGACCAGAAGTCCTTCTTTCCAGTCTTTTGGTACTTGTTCCTCATCCCAAATCTTATTGAAGAGAATGTGGAGTATCCTTGCAGTTACCGCTAAGTCTGCTTTCAGTGCCTCTGCTGGAATGTTATCTGGTCCTGCTACTTTGTCACTCTTGATTTGTCTGACAGCCATGCCAATCTCTTCAATTGTTGGTGGGCCGGCATCGATTGCGAGGTCTGTGGGTGCTACTTCGATGTTAGGTGGGTTCATTGGAGCTGGTTGATTCAAGAGTTTTTTGAAGTTTTCTACCTACTTGTTTCGCTGTTCTTCGATGTTGGTGATTACTTTGCTCTCCTTGCTTTTCACTGATCGTTCTGGTTTACGATAATTTCCAGCGAGTTTCTTTGTTGTGTCACACAATTGTCTCATGTTTCCTTCTCTTGCAGCCTTTTCCGCCGTCGTTGCTAAATCTTCCACATATTTACGTTTATCGGTTCTGATGCTCCTCTTCACGTGTTTGTTTACTTCTGTGTATTCAGTTTGTGCCTTGGCTTTCTCTGCTCTTGTTCGGCTGGTATTGATTGCTGCTTTCTTGTTCCTCCTTTCTTGAATCTTATCCAGTGTATCAACAGTGATCCATTCCTTGTGATGGTGCTTCTTGTGATCCAGAACCTCATGGCATGTTGAAGTGATTGCCTCTTTTAACGCTTCCCCTGTAGCTAGTCGTTGTTGTCCAACTTACGTCCAATGTTTCACTAATCCCAAGCACCTTCATGTTGTATCTCCTTATTTTCGCAGCAATTTGGAAGACTCTTTCGGTCTTCCACATTGTACGAGCATTCCGTTTACTTAAATAAATGGTTGCTGTGGTTGTCAGAAAAAGCATCCGCCTCATGACTTCCGAAGGAACTCGTCTTTCATCATGAGGCGTCATAACTCTTCTAAATGAAGACCTTCTGGCTCCTAGGGCAGAGTTTAAATGGTTTGAAAAATTTTTTCTGGTTAGCGTTTTTTAGCGAGTTAGTTTTATACGAGGTGGGGTCGCTAACCCCGCGCCCAACCCCCTTCCTTTATCCGGGCTTGGGACTGGCAGTAGCCCCCGGAGGTGCTCCAGGCGGAGTTAAACCAAGCTCCCCACTTTTATTGATTTTCTCTGTGCTACATTTATGGCGTCGTGACTTCAACTATTATGTTATCCTGTTACATTCTACGGTATATTGTTTATGTTTGCCGAAAGAGTACTGCATTTATTTTCATACTATTACTTAGTTAACTACCTACAAATGTATACTGCATGATGTGTCGCTACTGTTTATCCATTTATGTACATATGTTTGTTTATTTTAGTTCAATTAAGTTTTTAATGCATAGATTTTATTGTAGAAAACCAATTATATGTTATTTGTTCATTAACCCAAACATATTCATTGTTCAGATGAACTAAACAAACTCGTATTGAAAATATTTCGGTTAACTGATACACCCTTATTTTTGCAAATAATTCAGTATTTATAATCAGACCAGTGTATCAGTATACTGGTTTAGAAAATGACAGTTATTTACTGACAATTACTTCAAATCTTCTATTCTTATAAATATTTAATTAGTTTTACTTTGAATGGAACATGTAACTGCTTTTGTAGCGATAATAGTACTTTATACTTTGTTAAAACTCTTATTATATATACATAACATATATTTACAAAGTACTGAATAAATTAACTAACTGTTAACGTCACTGAGCCTCTCATCTATAGGTTACAGGTTCGAACCCAGCCTTCCTTATACAAATGCGTGCTATTGACCACTGATATTGAAATTAGTGGAAGGTTTTTGATCGATAGTCATATTTATATCGTCTTTACAGAAAAGTGATTTACTTAAGTTATAATACCCTTTTTGGTATATATACCGCTGCTGCATATCTTAAATCTTCATTTTGTTGTGAATTCCCCCTTTTAATAATAGGTACTCGAAATGCATCTGATTGGTGGTTATCATACTGGGTACAAAATGGGAATTTATCTGCAGTAGTTTCATCATTTCAAGACTCACCTTACCAAATGGAATTATTCCCAGATAATCATACGAAAAATAAATATATTCACTCAACTCATAATTTATCATCAATTAATTACAATTCATCCATTAATGAATTGCTTCAAACGAGCATACATTCTGCTGTACGGTTTGGTGAGCCTAATTCTATCACTGGATATTATTACTTAGAGATCTATGCATTTGTAGTGATAAGTAATCTGATTGCTACAATATTTCGTGCTGTTTTATTTGCTTTCGGCGGTCTAGTCGCTGCATCTGTTGTTCATGAATCTGCTTTGGACACAATTTTGGAGGTTTGTCAAATAAATTTGAAATTTTACGTTTTTGATAGGTAGTGGAAATGTATTGCATATCATTAATAAGTTTTATTTGTCTTTTAGGTCAATTTACTATTATTGTAGTAATTATAATCATGTAAATGGTATTGTGGTGTCTGCTACTTATACTGACGGATATAAGTAGTATGTATCAGGAAGCGAGAGTAGGATTCTCACTGACAGAAGAGGAAAATGAGGAGAAGAGAAAGAAAAACAAAAGCATTCAGAGTAGCAACAGGAATGGAACAACGATAGAGTTTGTAAGAGACACCTCAAAGAAGTTGTGCAAATAATGTATTCAATGTATTGCTTTCATATTTTACAAATTCGGTGTGTGATTTTGCTTAGTACAACAAATTGGTTTACTTTCCCGGACTCTTTGTTCATTATACTATTACTAAACGTTTTACAACACATAGTACATCAATATAGTGAGTTATAAATAGGGTTGCACATCTGGCGGCCTGCTTGAGCATCTGGGCTACCTGTTCCTGCCATCTAGATATTCCAACAAGTTATCTATTTTCGTTTGTTTTAATATATCATTATGTCTATTAATCGCATAACCTATTCTGCTGCGTTTCTGAAAAGTGTACAACCTTTCGTTGTCAAAGTTACAGAAAACTCAATAAGAGACAATATGGTTGCTGGCAATATACAACGAAAAGAATGTACATTATTCAGTTGTTCATTCACTGAAGTGCTAACATCTAACTGGCGATCCCTCAATATTTATCGCCAGGACCGACCAAGAAGAAAGAAACGGAAACTTGTTGAAATACTTTGCGCTGAGAATTCTATATTGTACCAAAATTATAATATTGAATAAAGCTAATAATAATAATAATAAGTTATGTAAACCTTTTGATTAAATATACGAAAAAAATGCGAATATCATATTTGCTATTTATTTCCAAACATTCTTATGTAAAGTTGGTATAATACATGCTGAAAATCCCACCATACAATTACACTGTACATTTAAAATTTTTGATCGTCTTAGTCTAGTGGTGACTTAATCGACATTCGGAACGTATACCCATGAAAACAGTAGTCAATCAGTCACTCAGTCGTAAACAACGTGGAATTTAGTACAAATCTCCAATGATCTAATTTGCTAAACTTCGTAGGAGACATCTATCTTCATCAATAAGAATCATCGTAGAATACCACCCAATACTCCGTTATATGTTTTCGAGGTCAAATCACCAGAATTAACCAGGCACATTCCGAAGAAGACAAAGGAAAAAACCACGTCTTTCGCCAAGAAAGTGTATAGATAGAAAGCATGGACGGAAAAGTCTGATATAAATGGATCTTAAAAACAGATCCTATAGATCTACTCTGGTTATTGCATGCGTAGGTTAGGTAAGATCTCATTGGTTGGTCCGCTTTCAATTAATCATTGACAGCGATTATATTAAGAATGTGCTAAGAATTTAAATGTAGATCGTGTATAAACTCCAATTTTGTTACCACTGTCTCTTATTGTTCGCAACTTCAGAATATATATTCGTCCGCTTCTAATCCTTGTTTAAATTTGGGACATGTGGGGTGAAGTATTATTTCCAAGGGTTTACTTATCAGTAGAAGATGTACCACTAAGGTTGGGATTTCGATATCAAAATTTGAGACAAGTAACCTTAACGATCTACTCCAGTTTGAATAATTTAGTAGTTGATATGCGCAAATCAGTACTATTCAGCGTCTAACTCATTCTTATACTAGAACACGTAGTCAAGCTCAAATTATTACTTTTATACTTTAACTCTGATATTTCGTAATCGCAAATAAAATATAATTGACACTGTAAGTTTGTAGAATTATCCAAGGCATATACATTCTGTTTCACACTCGATAACCTTTCGTTACGTCATACGCATACGCAAAAGGGTCATAATTATTGGCCTAGCAATTTTCCCAAACATGCATACCAAAGTTCTTTCATAAATGCTAAAACGCTTATGAGACGCTTGTAGCCTTTCTCTCTCTCTCTCTCTCTCTCTCTCTCTATATATATATATATATATATATATATATATATATATATATATTTCTCTCTCTGATTGTAGGGACGACAGAATTACTTTAATACTACACCGCAAGGTCGTATTCTGAATCGTTTCTCATCTGACGTTGGTACAGTAGATGACGCATTACCATTCCAATTAAATATTCTACTAGCCAGTTTAGCTGGATTATTGGGTGCATTAGTTATTGTTTGTGTATCACTACCAACGTTAATCTTCTTTCTGCTACCTCTTGTATTCATTTTCTGGTCTATTCAAAGGCAATATCGTGGAGCTGCTAGAGATCTAAAGCGAATTTCTAGGTGAGTTAATTTGTCTTTTTTTTTTAATTTTACAATAATGATCAATCTATCATTCATTGGTTAATTTCTCTTTCGATTTATATCATGTGGCGGCTTTTTTTAAATCTCGTAGTTATTCTATAATTCCTTTATAATGTTTTCATGTTACTCTTCACGATTTATCTCCTAGTGTTTATTAAATATTGGAAATCTGTAAAAACTTTTAAACTTTCACTGATAATGACATTAATGCTGTTATAAGACCGTACAATTCATCTTGATTACCTATCTCATTCGATTATTATTATCATTAAACTAATAATAGTTCACTTTGATTACACCGGTTTATGCTATAGATTATCAGCTGTATTTGTTATTTATTTGAAAGTTGATTATTTATTCTAACGGACTGCCTTATGTAAATGAGGTGAAATTCAAACCTACGACTGTTTATCTTGTATATAAACTAAACAGAGGTTAGATACCTCTATAATGTGTATTTTTATCGCGATAAGATAATTGTTAGAATTTGTTTGTTATACAACGTAACAATGATTTCGTGAAAGTTAAAAAGTGACGCTAATCGAAAATAAGTTATTTATTTTCAAAGTACTGACTATCCTTAACTCACCCAATCGAATACATATTATTGTCAATATTTCAACTGAAGTATATATAGATATTTTTGTGACCTATTAATCAATTATTTGTTCATCTCCCTAGCTTTGAGCTACACTTTTACTGTGTACTCTAATCATACTACTATGTCAGTAGGTAGGTGGAACCAGTTTGTAAATTTTGACCATACAGTTGATAGTTTAATTTACCAACCATTGGGGAAACGTTTGAGTGACAATAATAAAATCTCATGGACATACGTGAATTATGTTTATGTAATAGCTGACTCACAATTATTAAACGATTCGCTACACCCTTCGGTGTTATTTGAATTTCATCAATCGATAAATGGCATTTGAATGCTCACTATTAGACTTAGAGTTCTCGACGTTGATCTTGGTTGATGTGCACTTTTAAGTAGTCTCAAGGCAAGATGAACTAGCTGTTTGTGGTACTTTATGTAATATCTGTCTGTGATGAAACTTACCTGTGAATGCTTTTGGTGGTATTGTGTTTCCTGAGTCATATGGATAAATTGCAGAGCTTCATTGTATTCCTGGACAATATCAGTGCCTACCTTCATGTAGAAGTGGATTTTACTGCTATTCCACAAGTGTAATATCGGTTTATTCCGATGGCCTTGTTTGTGATTGTCTGTCTTCGTATATTTTGGTTCTTTTCATTTTTCATTGTATTCACATTGACTGTTTTTTTTTATTATTCGATCCCCAGCCTTGTAATTGATCGATCACTTTTGTATAAGTTCACATGCTGAATCCATGTCGATATGTTTATTGATTGCCGATTGATCTGAATGCCATATTTCTAGAAGCTTGCTGTGACTCTTAGAGTTTTCCCGATTATTTGAACGCTAGATATTCACAGTCTATTAATCGTGAAATCCGTGCCCAAGTTTCATTTTCGTCAAAACTCGCTAACCAAACTATTTATCGAAAAACACAAACTTTCAAGTTCATTCGTTGCATAACTAACACTTCTTACTGTACATACATAGATATTTCTCAATTGATCTAATAAATTTTTTTAGATCAATTTCAATGCTTGTTTGGAATGCAACCATAAATTTTACTTTATATTATAGACTTGTATGACGAATAACATACTTATTACAAATATCGGTTGCTCGACATATAGTCTACTTTCTATTTGAAATAAGGTTCGTTAATAGGACAAATTAAAACTTTCGTGCCTTTATCGATCACTTTCCGAATTTATATCTTTCACTATATATATATATATATATATATATATATATATATTGCTTGCATAACATAACATAACTTACACATAGACTAACTCATTTACTTTAAAATACATGTTTGAAGTAATGTTCGAAAATAGGTATCTACTCAAAATCATTTTACCATAAGCTTATTTTGAATTATGTTAGTTGTGTAACAGTTTTGGCATTTCATAAATAATTACTTTTTAGTCATACGTAATCACGTAACCACTTATCTAGAAGAAAATTATACTTTATTTCACTTCTTTTTTTTACTTTAAACGTTTTCTATTAATGTTGATATTATTACTATTCACAATTCCCAGTATTGTTCGTTCACCTGTTTATGGTCATTATACTGATACTTTATCTGGATTAGCAGTAATACATGGTTTAGGTCAAGAAATCCGTTTTCGACAATTAACCGCTTGTAAATTATCTGATCAAATACGTGCTGAATTAGCTAGCTTGGCTGCTAGTTGTTGGTTAAGTATAAGACTACAATTAATTGGCAGTGCTGTGATTACTGGTGTGGTCAGTGTATCATTAATTGGTCGATTATTTGACTGGACACATGTAAGTTATAGTTCGTTTATCATTAAAAATGTACTTAACTACATCAATGATTTTCATTGAGTCATTTTTCTTTAGCCATGTTATATTTTAAGTTTATCGTAGATATAAATTATGGTTTCAGTCATCTAGTGGTTTTAATAAGTATATGATAAATAGTGTAATCTTGAGTTGTCTAGTCACAATAAAATTCAGAAAACTTCGCTTTGACTTCTTCTAATTCTTATTGGTTGTTTGATTGAAATCGGTTTGTGACAAACAACCAATCTATGAACTTGTACAGAAGTGATCGATCAATTACAAGGCTGGGGATCGAATAATAAAAAAACAGTCAACGTGAATACAAAGGAAAATAAAAAGAACCTAAATATACGAAGACAGACAATCACAAACAAGGCCATCGGAATAAACCGATATGACACTTGTGGAATAGCAGTAAAATCCACTTCTACATGAAGGTAGGCACTGATATTGTCCAGGAATACAATGAAAACTCTGCAATTTGACCATCTAACCCAGGTGACATAAAACTGAAATCATTGTTTAACCAGAGGATAGGTGGTTCAATTTCCGATAAAAAGTGATGTTTATTGAAAGCTACAGGCATCTCATTGATGATATAACTAGTGAGTATAGGTACTTTACAGGATATCATCCATCCCATATGTATATATCTGTATAAATATTAGTTTATTTCATCTTAATACGACTACCACAAAGATACGAAATTCAATCAGAAGTCATTATATGTGAAAATTATATTTGAAATAATCTCAGCGATTGAAATTTAAAATAATTCCAACGTTTTGTCCAGCAAACTTGTCTGGACTTCTTCAGGGTAATAATCAAAATCATCAAAGAAATATATAGCGTTTTAATAATCAAATCTATACCGTGTTAATCCAATCATATTTGGATGTTGATCTTAGTAAATAGGATAACATGAATCAGTTAAATGCAAATCATGTCAAAAGTTCACGATGTGAAAATAAATGACTGAACGAATTGTGTATGTGTAAGATTGAGTTATTAATTATTGATATTCGGTGTTAATATGTTTTTATATGAAGGAAAAATAAAAGTGCAAGTTGAAGGTTGAAAAATTGTCTCTCAATCATTGATATGCATGTAAAATAAGAATCATTTTCAGAGTTTGTATACATCGTTTACACGTACAGCGACAACCCATTAGTTAAAGCACTCGACTCTCGACTATGTTCTACCTATTCCAGTCTCGACTACCGGGTAGTATCACCATCTCTCGCAGCCAAATAGTGTTATCCGAACTTAGATACACGGCACGGATCCATACTTTATTAATTTGTTGCAATGTCACTAGTCATTCACAAGTCACATATTTTGTAGAGAAGTTAAAAACATACCCCTAAAGCCAATCTAGGTATAGTTAATATGGTTCCGCATTCATTTACTGGTTGAGTGCTGAGCTCACTTGTGTACAACTTACCTACAAATTTTCTGCTTGATCACAACACGTAATGCTTCTGTCAAATCTAAATCTGTTTAAAAATCTTACTTAAAACATGTACAGCTTATTTTTATTATTTCGTCTGTTTCTAAAACAAAATTAGTATAATCAATGCAGTAGTTTTAAATAAATATAGTCGTTTAAATAAGTTATTACATACACCGTACTGAACAGTAATGTATAACTGGGAAAAATCATGGATAACAGTTACGCTTCTATGTATATATAAGAATGTTTAATCTTATAGTAGTTAACATATAAAAACAAGTGGAAGCCACGAACAAAAATTCGACCAATTTAAAATGGTAGGCATTCATAATATCATTTTTAGTTGGTTGAATTGCTTAATTCTTTCTATTTGATAACTTTAGCCATTAAGGTTTTCAATGCATGGTTTGCAGAACTCTAACTCTACCTTACGAACCATATGTTTTACAGACAGTTCAATAAGTCTATAAGATTAGATAAAGTAGCAATTGAAGGGTTAACGACTTTGGACGTTACTGTAGACGTGTGAAGCGCTAGTGTTTATTGGTTTTACATATTTCTGTCAATAGTTTTACAATGACGTGCCCGTTTTTGCGTAAATTGTCTCCTACTGTGATTCAAAGAGATATTCGACAGTTGATCCAATTAATACCAAGATGTCCGTTTTCTAGGCGTTTGTTTGATGGGACTCCACTTTCCAGTCCTAGAATGTATTCAGATGTCGCTATGGAGCGTCAGTCAGATGAATCATCAGTTTGTAAGAATGTCTCAGAGTGCTTATTGAAAAAATGTCCTTTCACGGTCAATTCATATGAGTCAACATGTTCAAATGATTATCTGTGCGCCCAAACCTCTAATAATCACGAAAACGAGATGTATCAAAACCAGTTATGTGGGATTTCTGATGACATATGTATTCCAAACACGTGCGCCTTATTCGCTGGTTGGCAAAAGAGTATAGTTGCGAGAAAAAGTCTTCAGCCAACAACAGACATAACGATAAAGAACGCTGATCCAGAACATTCTCAAACAATCGATTCGGTGCATAATGATGGTGATAGCTGCCTAGGTTTCAATTATAATAAGTTTTTCGTGTCTGAAGTAGAAAGAAAAAAAAGAGATTCTACTTATCGAGTATTTAGGAGAATTTTAAGAGACGCATCTGAATTTCCGTTTTGCAGATGATTATTCTAGTGGTATGAAACGTCGTGTAGCTGTCTGGTGTTCCAACGATTATTTGGGAATGAGTTGGCATCCTAAAGTTCAAGAAGCTGCCATTAATAGGCGTGATGACTATCGGACACAAAAGAAAAAGATTTCGTAAAGTAGTATGGTTTGGTGCACATGGGCTCCAGTATCCTGCGGGAACAAATGGCGTATGAACCAATCGTTGGTCACCGGCTACCATGGGATTGCATCTCCTTACAATGCTCCACTGCCTTGTGGGTTAGACCTTTAGGTCAAAGGCTCGGGGTGTGGCCCCCTAAGATAACCACCTGCTTCGGTTTGGGCACCCGGGCAGTATCACAGCCCACACACAAATGATGAACTCTTTATGTCTATGGAAATTATTTTTCTCGCTTCGAAAAACAATCAATTGATTCAAATTATTATCATTACAATTATTGTCATTATTAATACTATTATTATTATTACTACTATTATTGTCATTATTATTATTATTATTATTATTATTATTATTATTATTATTATTATTATTATTATTATCATTTTCCACATTATTCACCCTCTTTTATACTTATACAGCGGCTCGTCTTTGGTGGAAATTCGACTGTATCTAAACGTTCTCGAGTCACTGTCCGGTTGAAAATTGTATGTTACCACCGAATACGAGAACTGAAGCAGTTTTTCTGAAACCACGTGCACCATTCAAACTGGCTGCCTTCAACGTTCGCACACTTATGCAGGTTGGTCAACAGATAGGGCTGGCTATGTCTTTGGAAAGTCTTAATATTGATGTTTGTTGTCTATCCGAGACCCGTATTCAAGACTCTAGCGAAGTACTACAAATTCGCTCTACATCTGTCACTTCAAAAAGCTTGTTTTACGTGCGCTTATCCGGGGACCCTGTGGCATCTTCGTCTGGTCTTGCTGGCGTTGGTGTCGCACTAAGCGCTCGAGCTGAGGCAGCACTAGTCGATTGGATCCCCATTAACAGTCGGTTATGTGCTGTTAGATTAGAAAGTTCCATCAAAGTGAGAAGAAATCGGCGTGAGAAACGATGTTTTCTCGTCATCACCGCCTATGCCACGACAGATTGCAGCCCGGATGCAATCAAGGACGAGTTTTACCACCAGTTATCTGTTCTTCTCCAGAAAGTGCGTTCGACAGATATTGTAGTACTAGCCGGAGACTTGAATGCTCAGGTCGGGCGTCTAGGCACAGAAGAGAGTCGTTTAGGTGGCCAATGGGGACTCGTTGGTCGCAGGTCAGATAACGAGGACCGTCTACTGCAACTGTGCACAGACCACAACCTGTTTCTGGCTAGCACTAACTTTCGGCACAGTCATCGCCGATGTGCTACCTGGCGTCCTCCCTCTGCATCTCAAGCCTGGACTCAGATTGATCACATCGCGATCAGCTACCGCTGGCGTGGTTGTGTAAAAGACTGCCGCTCCTTTTGGAGTACCTATCTGGACTCTGACCATGCCTTGGTCTGCGCCAATCTTGCCTTACGTTTCAGTGGTCAACGGAGTGACCACCACCAAAAGATTGATATTAGCAAGCTGGTTGCAACTTCTGTTGCAAGTAAGTATCGAACCGAGCTAGCCTCTAGGCTAGCTACCACTCCACCGAAAAGTATAGATGAGCATTGGTTGCAATTGCATGACGCCATGAAAATGGCGGGAACAGTCAGTTGTGGGTTTGCGAAACGTCCCGCTTTTAAGCACTGGGTTTCTTCTGGTTCCTTACAACTCATTGAAGCCCGTCGATCTACTCCGGGTGACCGTGAGTTTGGCCATAAACGAAGGATGTTATATAAGGAAATTGGGCAAAGCTTGCGTAAGGACCGAGAAGCCTGGTGGCCGAAGCATGCTAATGAGCTGGAAGCAGCAGCTGCATCTGGTAACTACCGGAAGCTCTTCCAGCTCATCCGAGCCACTGGCAGCAAGAAGTCTGGTGTGAGTGAAACAATCTGCGAGGATGATGGGATGCCAATCACTAACATCCATCGACGTCTTGGACGATGGGCAGAATTTTTCAAAGGGCAGTTCAACTGGCCTGCTGCTCCGGCAACATCGGTCAGACTGTCCTGCCCTTCATGGCCGGTGACGACTGATCCACCAAACGAGGAGGAAGTCCGCAAGGAACTCCAACTCTTGAAGCGATACAAATCACCTGGCCCAGATGACTTACCTCCGGCTCTTTTTAAAGATGGTGGTGACTTTTTGACTAAGGAATTGACGACGTTGTTTACAAAGGTTTGGGAACTAGAGAGTGTGCCAACGTCATGGAATGAGTCGATAGTTGTCCCTGTCTTTAAAAAGGGTTCACGTCGTTCCTGTAACAACTATCGGGGGATAAGTCTACTTCCGATTGCGTCCAAGCTATTGGCTTCCGTCATACTTCGTAGGTTGTTCGAAATCCGAGAAAGATTGACTCGCGAGGAGCAGGCTGGGTTTCGTTCTGGTCGAGGATGTATTGATCATATATTCACCCTCCGCCAAATGTTAGAACACCGCCATACTTATCAAAGGCCAACAATCGTAGTGTTTCTTGACATCAGGGCTGCCTTCGATTCGTTGGACAGGACTGTTCTCTGGGATTGTCTATTGAAGAAGGATGTGCCTGGGAAGTTTATTAACATCCTAAAAGCCCCATATGCAAACACCTCAGGCAGAGTGAGGGCATATAACCACCTCTCTCCGTTGTTCCATTCGAGCAGTGGGGTTAGACAGGGTTGCCCAATCTCACCATTCCTCTTCAACTTTGCCATCGATGACATTCTGGAAACAGCTCTGATGAATGTAAGTAATGGTGGTGTGGATCTGTTGCCTGGAGAAAGACTTCTTGACCTTGAGTATGCGGACGATATTGTCTTACTGTGCGATAATGCCCAAGGCATGCAATCCGCACTTAATCAGTTGGCAATCAGTGTCCGTAGGTATGGTATGTGCTTTGCACCTTCGAAGTGCAAAGTACTTCTACAAGACTGGCAGGATTCCAATCCTGTACTCACCCTGGATGGTGAGCAGATGGAAGTAGTCGAGAAGTTCGTGTATCTGGGTAGCATCATAAGTGCTGGTGGGGGTGTGAGTGATGAGATCAATGCACGAATAGTGAAAGCCAGAGCGGCTTATGCCAATCTGGGCCACCTTTGGCGCCTTCGTGATGTTAGTCTGGCTGTAAAAAGTCGAATCTACAACGCGTCGGTGAGAGCAGTTCTGCTCTATGCTTGTGAAACCTGGTCTCTCCGAGTTGAGGACGTTAGACGACTCTCTGTGTTCGATCATCGCTGTCTCTGAAGGATTGCTGACATTCAGTGGCAACACCATGTCAGTAATGCAGAGGTTCGGCATCGTGTGCTCGGGCACGGAGACGATAATGCAACTGATGTTATCATCTTGAAACACCGACTTCGGTGGCTTGGACATGTTCTCCGAATGTCGTCCCAGAGAATTCCACGCCGTGCATTATTTGCCGACTCTGGGACTGGTTGGAAAAGGAGGAGAGGTGGTCAGTATATGACATGGTGTCGTGGCATGAAAGAAAGCTGCAAAAGGCTGGCTTCAGTCGGTCCTTCACGACTCCCTGGTTGGGGTCTGAGAGATGGTGCAACACAGTGGCTAGAGACGTTATCAGATATGGCTGAAAATAAAAGCCAGTGGCGATCCTGCTGTAACCTTCTACTTTCTTCATAAAAAGTGGTAGTGTCTCCGTTACCTGAAAGATTTCTTCTGATTGTACCTTTTCGTTCCCTCGTTACTACCACACTACCTTTACACCAATCTCTTCGTTATTGTTCTCTTTTTCTTTTGCGCTCCTTAGTTGTTTTCTTTCTACTTCTCTTCGAATTTTCATTGTTTTGTGTGGCGCATATATATTGGCGCTCTCTTGTACCAATATTCATGTGTTCAAATAAATAAATAAATTAGATAAAGTACAACCAATCTCAAACTAAACATGAAGATCCCACTTTTTTTCTTTATTTCAGATAGCTTCTATTGGTTTGTCGGTTGTGTATGCACTTAATATTTCCGGTTTAATGACTAGTGTTGTGTATGATATGACTGAAACAGAGAAAAATCTTGTAGCTGTAGAACGTTGTCAAGAATTAACTGATGATACTCCAATTGAACATGATATTGTTTCAATTAAACCCGTGGTTAGTCCATAGTTTACTATTCGTCTTTTAGTTATGTATAAATTTCTTTTAGAATTGTATTTAATTATTTCTTGTATATGTTTGTCAGTCTAAATATAACAATTTGATGTAAATAGTTACTAGCTATATATGTAATATATTCGTCCCCACAAGAAAGTATACTTAGGGTCATTTTAAAGGATTAGATTTAATTTTGATGGAGCTATATTCACATTACTAATATTGTACTGTAGGATTTAATTGTCTACAGACAAATTTCTAAACTAGTCCCTAGGCTGTTGATTACAGTCTTAGGGTGGTCAAAGTCAAAACAGGTAAGTTATTTGACTTGAATAACTTTATGTTTCCAAGCGTAGATTAACACAGTTACTATGAGAACAGAAATCAATTCAATCCGCTGTGGTGAATAGAAATTGCTCTAGACCATTATCTCCACCCATTTGATACTCAAAATATCCACCTAGGGATGTGATATGATTTTGCAGTTTGGCGTAATCCCAGACATTTCACTGCGTACAAATATATACGTCACTAAACTGAGCGATTGACCCGTGAGAACACTGTGCCACGTATTGTAGATGGCCTGCGGATTCAGCCGCTCCCTGTAAGATTGTTACACAAGTCAGTCAGTCAGCTACAACGTAGGACCAGGCACATATATGCATCGGTCCAGGTTGCCATACCTCATTAGCACAGCGCAAAGTGGACAATAATAAAGCTTTCGTCCCTGAAATCAGTAATGGTCGGACAGTTTCAAATTCCGCTTCGGTCAGCTTCCCCATCCACGAATTGTTGTAGCTTAGGAGATTGAATTCACGTTTGTAATTCGTATTACCACGGAAAACGTTTCAGTAGCCTTTAATGAGTTTATAAAATACGAGGCCTGGGCAGCACTTTAGGAAACAATGTCGTAAACTTGATCAACTTATCTCCTTCGTTGAATAGGATTATCAGATCCACCTGCTCTTCAACCATTTATCCAACATTTGAATGTAATATACGCTTTCTAATTCTTATGGAAAGGGAAATACTAAATCGCTGTGTTAAATGTTATGTTACAATTTTTATAAAAATAATTTGGAATTACCTCGTATTCGTGTAATTACTCTTCTGAAGGGGCCTCAACCTCGTTCCTCGTCACACAGTCACCTTCGTTTGCCGAAAGAGAGGAAAAGTGGTATTGCTTATCCTACAGGACTACTGCCTAACTGGCCAGCATCTGGATCCATTTTTTTCAACAATGTTTCGCTTACCTATCGTCAAAACTCCCAGTCAGCTAATGAACAATCTGTCAAAGCTCTTGATGATGTCAGTTTTACTGTTAAACCCGGTGAATGTGTAGGAATTGTTGGCCGTACAGGATCTGGTAAAAGTAGTCTCATCAAAGTCTTATTACGTCTGGTTGACCACCTCCCTGGACCGTATACAAACCAACATATAGCCAATCAGACGGGATTTATAGGTGCCACCGGTCAAGTATGTTACGTTTGTTTAGGTTTTTCAAGTTGCTCTGGTCAACAACATAATAATACCTTGACAACACCTTTTTTCGCTCATCCAAAGTGGTATTTTGTGATACTAATATATAATCACTAAATATAATAAAATTTATGATCTGATCTTTAGTAACACAAAAAGTCCAAGCAATTACTAGCCGTTTGTCTGGTATGAAATTGTAAATAATGGTATACATAATGGTTAGTAGGACTGGGATGTGTGGAAGGTTCTTGCCTTGAAAGTAAGATGTTAGCTTTGAGGTCGTCCTTTATATCAACTACCGTGGTTCTGCCACAAGTATCATTTCCATTGGCCGTTGACTGCTGAATGCTGTCTAGCGAGATTAGAGTAACCATCTCAGCTTAAAGGCAGTGTTGAATATTATCTACCATCTTGATCGTGTGCACAGATTTTGTGTACATGCATGTATTTCTCAATCCCTATCTTGTTTTTCATTTGTCACTCCCCCTTCCCTACTTGTAATTGATATATCCCCTTATTTTCAATATCCACTAACGTAGCTTTCTATTGTATTCAATGTCATGTGATTAGTTGTCTTCTTACGAATGACTTAAACAATCCCGAACTTCGGTCATGATCACTCAATTTATCGTGTTCTAAATGTTCAGAGCTTTTGATCCACTCCTTATTGAACTTAGATGCTCATTGGCCCTGGTTAAAATCTCTGAATCATAAATCCTTTTTTTGTGTTAATTTCCTAATATAAAACACCGTTAATACATTACTTTATGCGTAAATATATTTATAGTACCTCACTTTGTGTATTTTGAAATACATTTATAACACTTAAGTCATTCTTGATTTTGGATTCATTTTAAATAAATATTGGTTTACTGTACCTATGTTTTGGATCAGTGTGTTACTTCCGTTGGTCAGGATATTCACGACTGTAGTCGACAACACTGCGATTTCTTTGCTTGTATTCTTTCAATCATTTTTCTATGTAGAATGTTGAACTAATTATATCCATCTTCTAAAAGCTCAGTCGCGTAAATCAGTAATTTTGGTGCAATCTAATAGTCAAACTGCGGGTCTCCGTCATACAAAGGATCACTAGAATTATGGGAGCTAAATTGTCTTGTAAATTTACTAAAATGACTAATATATTCGAACTCACCATTTGCTTATGGAATCGTTTTCCAAATATTATGGGAATAGATCTCAAAACGTGGAACTACTCCCTAATCGACTGAATATGTTAAGGAATTTATATTATCATTCATGTCTCAAATATTCAACTTAAAGAATATGATTAAGTTATTTATCATATCATAAATAAATCCATGATACTCCACTTATCGTTATATCAAATCCAAAATTACTCACTATACTAAAGTAATGATACACCTGTTGAAAATTCTAAGAATTTCAATAACTATAAAAGTTAGAATGCAGTCAATAGTATGTTCTGATTGTTAAATAGTAAATGTATAGTCTTTCAACCAACAATCTTTATCTCGATAAAGAAAGTACAACTTTGTATACTTTAATGTAATTCACACACTTTTTGAGAGTTACAGCATTAGGCTAATGAAAACGGAATTCGAACATTCAAGTCGGTGTTTGAAAAAATTAGGTAGTCTGTATACGAAACTCGAATTTATTTGGTCAGCTGATTTGATAAATCAGCTTACAACATAAATGTAAGATCAGAATTAATTATATATATCTTATCTATATATTACTTGTGTTATGATTTTCATCCCGTGCCTGCTTATTGTAGCGAACAAAAATGTAGGTGGGGACAACCAAATGTATTTGAATACGAAATTACAGGATCTCTTAGTAAAATCTGAGAACCATACAGTAAACACTTCATTTGCAAAATGTCAATCAATCGTCTCAGACTTCATGGTTCCTTCATTTCGACAGCAATCATTCTCTAATCTCGTTCTCTTTACTTCGATCTTCTTCACCTTCTGCCTCTAGGCATTTCACTTTCGATTGGTGACACATACTACTTATATCTGTCCACATCAGTAGCACACACCACATTATGAGTTCACTGACAGTCAATAGTCCTCACAAAATTCCCTCTCCTCTCTAAATTACCAGTCAGATGGCCGTGTGGCTAAGTACTGATATTATGCTGCACTATTAAAATTCACATGTGGTGTGTACTTGAAACACATGACTATGATATTAGATTTACCGGAATAACGCATTCGAGGTTGAATAAATTAATGTCTTGTCTTTGCTTCTCAAAATATTTATGGGTAAAAATAGATAAAAAGTAAGAGGTTCTACAACAAATAATAGTGAGTTTACGTTAAACTCACATTCAAGGAGGAGAAATTCAATCAATATTTATCTGTCATTTGAATATACGATAGTATGATAATCGATTCAGTAATCTGACTGGACACACTATAACAGATACTAAATAATTAGACTACTCGATTAAATCACATTTCACGACTAAACACAGAGTACCAGGGTACAGGTCAGACAATAGTTTGCTTGATACAATTAAGCGCAATCCTCATTCAGTGAAAATCCGAGTAGTAAACCAGAGTTTCGTTATAAGCATAATGATTTATACAAAACATTGTAGTGGGCCTTCTCATCAACCTTCATTGATTAATCACAGTTCACTTTCATCTGATGCATCAAATATACATGCTGATTTTTCAGGGGATAAGTTTCAATGTTTCACTTTCCTTCCGTTTTAGCAGCTTATTTATTATCTGATTAAAATGATATCGAAATTTTCACCGACCGTATACTTTATTTGTTCATTGATATTATTATTGTTTAGTATTATCATTCTTCGCTTTCCCCTATCTATTTTTCATTTGCAAGGTGTTTGTCGATGGAATAGATGTTCGCACTATTCCTCTCACCTTACTTCGTTCTCGGATTCTAACTATTTGTCAGGAACCATTTCTCTTCTCTGGGTGCTTACGAGACAATCTAGATCCTGAAAAGTATGTTCATTAGAAGCTATTTTCCCTCTATTGTGATTAATCTTGTCATATAAAACATTTTCAACTTATTAATATTGAAATTAACTCACGCCGAAATGAAATCCCGTATCTCTTCGTTAACTGCTCACAACGTCAGTCAACCGTAAACACCGTAGAACCTGGAACATTCGTGCATCGGTTCAAGTTGCCATACCATATCAGCACGGCGAGATAAAATTATAAAAACAAATGCCATAGTAATAGCAGTAGTAACGGTATTAATGATAACAGAAAAGATTAGCCATAGACAGTATAATTCGAAAAAAAAGTTCATGGAATAAAATAACATAATTTGATCATAAAACCCAAGATCCAAAACAATAAAAAACGTGACTGAATCTGTGCCATTGTTAATGATTTTAAATCATGTCACTTGACAGCTCCAGTTACTCGTTACGATAATAGTGCTGACCCTAACTAGGTCATCTTAACCTACCAACACGACTCAATCCAACAGTCAATGACTAGATAAACTAATGCAACGTCCTGGATTCGTTTTCGCTTACTTTTTTCCACCTTATTCATACATTCGTAGACATCACAACAACGATCAAATTATAAGGAAGGATGTGATTGTTACTTTACCAGTAGGGATTTTTATCCAACCAATGATAAGTATCTCATCCTTAGGATTAAATTCGTACATTATAATATCAGTAGAAAGTAGATTAAATAGATCATATCCTACTAGTGTATTCAACATGTGCTGTACACAAAACTATCATTTATAATGATGGCAGCATAGTATACGGGCTTATTCTATGATATTTAAAACAATAAAAGTGGCAGATCCCGAAATAGGATGAGAAATGACCTAAACATTCTACTACCCTCCATCATCTAACTCTTCAAAGCTATATCGCCAGTTTTTCTTAACCGATATTTGTTTAAGTTCAGTCATTATTATTACCAGATTTATAATCCCAACACTTCCCTCATATTTTTTTCTCCCAAAAAATTACTACTAGTAAGCTAAATGATTCTGTATTGGAAGACGTTTTATTGAAATGTCAACTGGCTACAAGTCGTTTACAAGCCTCTCAGTGGTTACTTCGTGAAGTTGGTGAATCAGGACGAGACATATCTGCCGGGCAAAGGCAATTGATTTGTTTAGCTCGAGCTTTACTTCGTCAACCTAGGCCAAAAATTATTTGTTTAGATGAAGCCACTGCTTCAGTGGACAACAAATGTGAAGAAACTATTCATGTAAGATTTCATTCTGTGTTAGTCATTAATTAATAAATTAATTGTGTAACATTACTGTCCAGACTTTGGTTACTGTATAGCATGCTCCAGCTTGTTGTAAAAAGTTATTTAATTATGATACAACTATTATGTCTAAATTCACAGAGAATTCAGATATGTCTTTGACTTAGCTATTGAACGAAATAAGGTTTAAGTTACTGTACAAATAATTTATCAATTTTACTTTTTTTCTCATTAGTTGGATCATAATTGCTGGAATTCATATTATTGTTTAAAAGTTCGGATGTTATAACTCTCATATCTCTTTTAATGCTTAATCCTTTCTTCCATTACTCAGTGAATCGAATTCTATGTTCTTAGTGATTTCTAACTGGCTGAATTATTCATCTGTAATTTCGACAATAACATATTCAGTTTCAGATAACATCTTGATGTGGTTCCTTTTTAATCATTTCACGATCAGATTGATATGAACAGCTAACTCATTTCCATGTATTTAAAGCGGAAATTAATAAATTATGTGTTCAACACATTACTTTCCACCTTGTATTGTATTTTATTAGTTAGTTGGCATTTTCTTTCTGTCTTAAATTAAATGGTCGTGAAATCGTACGGTCTAACTCGCCATGTTTCAGCAACATTTCGATTATGACCTTAAGTTATCGACGTACGAGATATGGATTACTAGTTTATCAGTTTGTTTTTTATACTGTCCTCTCGTTTTGTTAATTAATTTAAACGAAAATACAAACTTGACGTATTTTCGATGGGCTAATAATGTTCAGAAGTTATTTAGTATATAGGTTAAACTTTATTGCACAGAATACAATCTCTAACTTTCCTTCTTCATCATTAGTTCTCGTGACAAAAATATATTTGACTGAGCAAACTATATTCTGATATTTTCTTCCTTGCTAATAAGTTGAAGAAAAAGTAACTACTGACACGTATAAGTCCTACTAATGACTAATTTCCCACTTAATAACGAAATGTACTATAACAAGAATACATATGTCACTTATGTAACAGTGTTTTAACATTTATTTATATTTTCCTTACAAACAGCAAGTCCTTGACCAAGAATTTCAAGGAGCCACAATATTGCTCATAGCCCATCGACTTGCTTCAGTTCGTCGTTTATGCTCACGTGTTATAGTCATGCAGTCTGGACGATTGGTTGCAGAAGGTCCACCAAAAGAAATTTTAGATGCCTTATTCAATCATATTGAAACCAGAGATCTGGTCACATTATAAACAGTGACATTAATTTATAGATCTGATCTGTTAACTAACTAAATTATGCATTATTGTTTTACTATTTTTAATAATATGTATTTGATTTCTTTCTGATTAACAATGTATTTTTGCTAAAGGTACATATTGGCTGAGAAAAAGTAACTTTTTGCCTTCAGTGTAGTACGTCAGTCAGTTAGTCAGCTACAACGTAGGACCAGGCACATATATGCATTGGTCCAAGTTGCCATACCTCATTAACATAACAAGATGGACACCGGATTCATAAAAGCAGTTAATTCAGAGGTGGTCATATATAAAGAGCGAAAACAAATCAGATCTAGGTTAGGCAAAAGTCTAAGGAACGACCGTGAGCAGTGGTGGGCAACGAAAGCAAAAGAGATGGAAAAGGCAGCGGCTATAGGGAACACAAGACAGCTCTACAGACTAATAAAAGAAACTGGAATTAATAAATCAAGTGTAAGTCAGACTATCTTGGAAAAAGACGACACTCATCTGCTCTCAGTCCAGACGTTTAGAACAATGGGCGGAACATTTTAGAGAACAGTTCAGCTGGCCTTCAGCTACTCTACAACTACCCTCCATTCCTAGACAGTGTGACTGGAACATTGAAGTAGGTCCCCCAACTCTTGCTGAAGTTGAAAAGGCTATAGTTAATCTGAAACGAGGAAAGGCAGCTGGCCCAGATGGGTTGACTCCAGAAGTCTTTAAGGATGGTGGTCCAATTTTAACGATTAGGTTGACTAATATTTTAGCTCAGATCTGGGAGTTAGATGTTATCCCATCTAACTGGTCACAATCACTTATTGTCCCAATATACAAGTAAGGGTTAAAATCATACTGTGACAACCATAAAGGGATTAGTTTAACTAATATAGTATCTGAAATACTAGCCTCAATAATTATCAGACGCCTAACTAAGACTCGTGAACTGCAAACACGAGAGAACCAAGCTGGCTCCAGACCTGGTCGTGGCTGCATCGATCACATATTCACCATTCGTCAGGTTCTAGAACATAGGCATACTTATCGGCGTCCGACAATGGTGGTCTTTCTCGACTTAAAAGCAGCATTTGACTCGGTAGACCGCGAGATTCTGTGGCAGTGTCTGTCTTTGAGAGGCGTACCTCAGATGTACATAAACCTTGTAAAGACTCTTTACTCGAACACTACTAGTCGAGTCAGAGCTTACGGCGAACTGTCATCTGCTTTTGCAAACTCAAGTGGTGTCAGTCAGGGCTGTCCACTATCTCGATTTTCGTTTAACTTCATCATAGACATACTAATGGAAATAACATTCTCGTCAACTGAATTCTCGAGTATTGATCTCCTTCCACGAGGTCCACTTATCGACTTAGAATACGCAGATGACATAGTCCTGTTTGGTGAAGACGCTGATAAAATACAAAGTCTTTTGGTAGCACTCAGCAACAATGCCAGAATGTTTGGAATGCGCTTCTCTCCCTCTAAATGCAAGTTGTTGCTTCAGGACTGGTCTGCGTCAACGTCTGAACTAAGGATAGGGAGTGAAGTAGTCAAACGCGTCGACAACTTCACTTATGTTGGAAGTTTGATCAACCCTAATCGGTTGGTGTCTGACGAAATCTCAGCACGGATTCGAAAAGCTCGTTTGGCTTTTGCCAACTTACGTCACCTATGGCGAAGGCGAAATATCCGTCTATCAATAAAAGGACGAGTATACTGCGCGACAGTCCGTTCTGTTTTAATTTACGGCAGAGAAACATGTCCATTAAGAGTCGAAGATACTCTTAAGCTATTAGTATTTGACCACAGATGCCTTAGAAATATTGCTCGCATCTGTTGGGATCACCGGGTAAGTAATAGTGAGGTTAGACGTAGGGTATTAGGGAATGATGGTAAATCACAGCTGATGAGGTTGTGAATCTCCATCGACTGAGATGATTGGGCCACGTGTTGCGTATGCCTGAACACTAATTACCACGGCGTGCAATGCTAACAGGTGTTGGGGATGGTTGGGAGCAAGTTAGGGGCGGCCAGACTAAAACATGGCATCAGTGCTTGAAGACGCTAACTGTTGGTCTGAACAATGTTGGGAGATGCAGACTACTTGGTTGGGGTCCGCGTGACTATCGTAACCAATGGTTGTAGACTTGGTGACATGGCTCAGAATCGATCACAATGGCGTCGGTGTATGCACTCTCTGTCTTCCCTTAAACTAAGAAATTAAAATCGCTTCATATCTTTCTACGAACTAAATCTTTCTTCTTGTACTATATCCTTATATGAAATCTTTCTTTTATATATTACCACCTCTGAATTAACTGCTTTTATGAATCCGGTGTTCATCTTTTTATGTTAATGAGGTATAGCAACTTGGACCAATGCATATATGTGCCTGGTCCTACGTTGTAGCTGACTGACTGATCTTATAACTGGACTCTTTTTGATACATTTCTTTGATGTTTTTACAACTTACTACTCTAGAGAAATATGTCGTCTGATTTTGAGAATGTGCTGTGCTAAGTAGAGCACTTTAGAAATGGGTCTAATTTAGCTACTTTGGCCAGGATATCCTGTTTTTTCTTGGTCGTAGATATCAAAACAGATGGCGTAATAAACATTTGTAAGGAATTCCGATACTTTTTAGTATGATTGCAATATCCTGGTCGGAAGGCCAAGCGAATTCCATAAAAACACGCAGCAAACCGATGGCGTCTTATTATCTGAGACTTGTGTCTGCTTATATCCTTTGTGATTAACTGACGGGAATAATAGAAGAGCCGTGTATTTGGGTAGTTAAATGAATGATGCTGTCAAGCGATATCAGTCCATGTGTAGCAAAGACCAGAGTGATGTATGCTAATTCTTGTCGCTTATGAGGCGTTTTAGTGAGTGCAGTTCTACTTGGTTTTTGTGAAATCTAGAATTCTAAAGATTGTCTGAAGAACTGCATTCATTCTGAACCAACAGTGTAGTGAGGCCCAAGAGCGTGGACTCTGGAGATGACTCACTAAGTGTTGCATTTTGGAACATTATCTTCGGTCTTTTGACGCTCAAACAACACGGAAAACGACCGGAAGAAGTCAAATTATTACGGTTTCGTAAATTGCAAAATAATCTTCATAGGTTTAATGTCCTATAATTCGTCACAAACAGAACAGAGCTATTAAAGTTGTACTGCTCACTGACTCAAGATAGAACCCACTGGCAATCTTGAAGTCTTAAATTGTTTATTTTCATAAACATTATGGTGAACCCTCACACTGTAACCTAATTTAGTAGGATTGTTAGTTATCTTTGGATACCTGTCATTTCCCTAGGAAAATGATTTTCTGTTGCTTTTCAATAGTGAACATATTAATTCCAAACTAAGTGTAAGGCATGATCGATACACGAACCCACCAATGTCAGTGTCAAAAGCCCACCACCACCTTCACTTTCTTTGATCTTAAATGTATATTTATTTGAACACATAAATATTGGTACAAAGGGGCACCGAATATATATGCGCCACACAAGTCACTTGATTTGTGTATGATCCATGATACTGCCCGGATGCCCAAACCGAAGCAGGTGATTTTCTTAGGGGACCACACCCGGAGCCTTCGATCTAAAGGTCTAATCCACAAGGCAGTGGAACGACGATAAGAGATGCAGTCCCATGGTGGCCGGTGACCAACAATAGGTTCATACTCTACTTGTCCCTTCGGGATACTGGAGCCCATGTGCACCATTGGTTTGGAATCAGGGTTTTCAAACTCCCCTAGGTGGACTTTCCGTGTCCACCAACCCGGTTAAAGGGCCGGACATTCGCTTTTCGTCCTGTCAAAGTACTAAACAACAGTAATGTCACGAGGAGGCAGTGAGTAGGATTTCTCTGAAAGTGGTTGTGTACGGGTGGTCATGTGAGATCGTTTCGAGAGGGAGAGCTGACTCTCCCTACCCTCAGCTGTACCAGGGCATTTGGGGACCTGTCTTGTTTACTCACTAATTACCTCTCGTTTGCCATAAATGATATTAATTTTTAGCAAAGGGATCCAGGACGCGCGCTTCGTCCTGTTTGGGACTCGCCAGCTGGATGTTTCTCCACCCCAGAGTTAACGTCCACTACGAGACTCGAACCCAGTGCTATTTTCAGACGCCTTTGCGTTATCCACTTAGATACTGAGTCCAGATACCCACTAGCTTGTGCAATGAGGTGAGGTTTTGTCCCATTCGTGACTCACTTCCTGTACTCCACGGTTAGCCACTTCTGCTTATAATGCTTGTAACTTGAGACAATCCGCACATATGCCAAGCAGAGACTGATCAATCCTTAAATTCAGTGGGAAGATTCAAACAACCAATACAAATGGATAGTAGGTTTTCTTGACCCACTTCCCCTCTCTTCTGATTACTATTCAGTATGTTACTTATGTCACTTTTTCTGTTTAATAGTCTATTAATTTGTTTTTCATATACTAACCGTGTTAATTTTCGTCTTAAAATGGAAAGTTAACTAAGCCAAATAGCTCACCTATTCTAACTTTGGCCAAGCTAGCACTGTGCTCGACAACCAAAGGATTAGCTTAGAATTGCGTTTGTAGGTAATTACTTTCTATATAAAGTGTGCTTTGGCTGAAATATGGACTGACAAAGTTTATTTTTCAGTCAGAATCACTGGATATCAAATACACCCACCTGAAAATCCACTTAACATATATATAAACAAGAATATTCAAAAATCTTGGTAACTGACGCCTCCAGATACTTATGATACATTCATCCCGAAACTTAAAGTGTGTTAACGTTAGTCGCTGTAACCGAATATGGTGCTACAATTGTGTTTTGTTTCACGCCAATAACGACAATTCCACAACTAGGCTGTTATATCCTAACGCCGAAGAAAACCTTACAATTTTCACCGTTTATCTATTCACTCAACAAAAATGTAGGTCGTCGTTTTTTAGTCCAAATTTTCAATCATCTTAGTCCTCTGAAAAATCCATTATTTCAGATTATACAATCTACTTATGTCACACCGGTTTCTGGGATATGTTCAGTGATTAAAAAGTCGCCACAGTATTGTGGTTTAAGAAATTTATCAGTGAGGTTTTTTAGTCAGCCAATTCATTTTTTCATGCACTCAAGGATCAAAAAGTATATTTTACATTGATAATCGTTTAGTTTCCCTCCTAGTAGACTAATCAGTTAAGCTTTTAAATGTGATTTTGTGAGCAGTTTTTTTAATTGACTACATCGATCTACCATCCATTAATTATTAACCGTATCTGTATTTTACTAATAAGGCGTGGATTCATAATAAGTTCACTTCACAAGGATCGATAAAGAAACACTCAGACGAACAATCTTAGCTGGATAATTTACAATAAGACATAGATTGTTCCTTTTTGCAACAAAAAATGTCAATAATAAATAATTTACGCAGGATGAATCGATAAACTTGTGGTTCATATGAATAACCTATGATATGAAAAACAGATGATACAACATATACAGTCAAAGAGCATTGGAGATAATAGTATACAAGGATCCAGAAGTACAATAAGCCAGAAGCAATCACTTATCACTAGTCCAAATTTTAATTGTTTTATCGCCCTCTAACGATCCTGAAGCAATCATGTTCATTTGAGGATGACAAGCAGTACACAAAACAACATCTATAAAAGAATTAAAAAGTTTAGAATAAAATGTAAAAACAAACCATTATGACCAGAAAGTTTTTGTACAATTTCCTTTGTTTGCAAATTCCATAAATAAATACAGTTGTCTTCAGACCCCGAGACAATCCACTAATCAAAAACAATCATCAAACAAATTATTAAACATACTTTGCCTCCGGTAACTGAAAAATTTGCAAATATACAATACTTCTCATTTTTGTGCCCTCCATAAATTTTCAAGCATCTACCCTTAGTGTAATCCCATAATTTGAGACAACTATGTTTGGAAAATTCATTAGGATTTAGTCATGTTAAGTAACTTGAATACCTATCGAGTGTAGCAGCTAGAATATATTTGCCATTAGGCGAGAATTTAACAAATGAAACAGGAGGGTTATCATCATCTGAAAATCAATCAATTGAGCAGTATATGTGCATGCACAAGTCAAGTTACCTATTAATGTTTTTAAACACTGACCAGAACCGGTATCCCAGATCCGACTAAAATTTAGATTAATTGTTCAAGAAATACAATTTAAACCACATACCATAGTCCATCATAACTGCTGGAAGCAATAAGTGAACCATCACGATTGAAATTAACCTAAGCAGGTTTTTAAGAAAATTATATATATAATGACATACAGCTGTAACAGGATCAGAGTGGGCAGGAAGCGTGCGGATACACCGGCCTGTTTTCACATCCCATAACTTGACACTTTCATCAAACTATACCAGTAGCAGTCAGAAAACAACAAAGACGAAAGACATACCGAGCCGGAAACGATCAGGTTTGACTGTGGATTAAAATTGCAGCAAAAAACATAGTTGCTGTGACCTTTAAGAGTTTTCAGGCACTTGCCAGAGACGAGATCCCACAGTTTTAAAGTTTTGTCATCGGAGGAACTACACAGAAATCTTGAGTCGTAAGACCATGAAACATCTGAGATTCCCTTTAACATATTATATATGCATAGCAAATGAAATTTATTAAAGTAAAAACTACCAGTTTATGACCGCTGATAGATTTTTCAAATTTCCCGTCATAAGCATTCCATACTTTGATTAGTTTATCAGCTGCTGTATTGTTTCAAAGGGGGAATGTAACTAATAGTCGAGTGCTTACATGAACTTGCCAACCACTGACCATTTTCACTAAATTTTACTGATGAGACTGCTTTTGTGTGACCAGTTAGAGTGAATTTTAAGAAGTAATTGGGGACCTAGCAGGGTGTGATAAATCCATCACCAGTACTTACTTCACTACTCATTAGATGGGTAAAATATGTGTTTCAAGTCTATAAAAACAAGTATTAAATTATGCATCCAATAATAAGTTACGTAAACAAGATGCTTAAAAATAAATTAATCCAGTTGACAGCTTGCTTACATTTTTTAGTGATTTTCCTACCGGGTAAATGATAATTGTGGTTACCAAATCTAAACAAGATTATGACACAAGCAGACACAACAAAGTAAAGCCTCACATATAAAAGAGCCCACACACTAATCAAGTGACTGGTGTGGCGCATATGTATTCTGTGCCCCTTTGTACTAAGATTCATGTGAATTTTGCAGACAAGATAAGGAGAAACAAATACAAAAGTTGTTTAAAAATGATTTTATATACGGAAGCACATTGGGAAGTATGTATTTCACGTTTGACTGTACTGAATAACGGACCAAACAACGAGAGAACCATGATAAAACGTTTGATAATTCCTTACTCGATTATCTGAAGCTTTAATTTAGAATATTTAGAACATTATAATCCTTGAAGGATGATAAGTGAAAAGCTATAAATTGCAGACAGTTTTGAGGAATATAAGCATTGCACTCTATGACATGAGATATTTTATTGAGAATTGCTTTGTTCAGAAAGTTTTCCAATGTAATGCAACCACCATCTTTAGTGTAGAAAGCCACCTGTAGTGTAATTTTAGGTAGTTACGAGGCCATATAAAAATTATGAAAAACCAGTTTTTTCGAAGCCGATAGACTGTAAAATCTGTTGGCCATAAGATATTTAAGCAGTCGACTTCACGTTAGCAATACCGTTTGGGAATTCTGACATGGCAAAGACTAATACCTAAAGTCAAATACCTATCTTATAATGAGCGGCCATTCACCTAATCTCATAAACTTTCTTAGAAATACATGCTGTAAAAGTCTATAAGAAATCCTATTTAACTAACGTCAAAAGGACGTTATAGATCTGCAACGGCTTCTCCACAAGAATTATTCGATGTAAGTTATCTGAATCTGCTAGAGATGAACCGACAGCAGTTGCGTACGTCAGCTGATGAATCTAAAACATATCTATTGCTATGTACAGACAATTTACTAAACGCTAAGAATTAACAAAAAAGGCTTTTGTTCAAACTTCACCTTGAAAACCGTAGAGCGCGCTTTTCATTCTTCAACGCCCAATTTCTGGTAAATTTCACTCTAAAAATAAAGATAATTAATGGGTTGAACAGTGTTCATGAATCCCGTTTTATTGTTGTATTCACATGTTCTTGGAGATTTTCAACAATGGCTTGACTTAGAAGAAATAATATCGTACCACAATAATAAACTGCGCTTGATAGGACATCTATATAAAGTAGAACACAATACCTTTGACTAAAATTTGTTCTAATTGTTAGTGATGGAACCGTTTGAACCATGATTCAAAGGAAGGGTCAGTGTTTACCTAAGCTGCATCGGTTCTGAAATCGATTTCACCAGACTTTGCCCATTAGTTATTTATACTTATCACTTAGCGTTGACACATTCAAACTTTCTCGCTACTTATTGTAGCGACCAACAAGTAACGTGTAGTAATAATAATTTGTGTGGACGAGGAAAAGTATTCATGAGTGACCCGACAATCACAATCGGGAACGCAACTTTTACGTTACTGCATAAAATAAAATATTGTACGTGGCAGGATGTAAAATTACTGTTAAATCATGCCTAAAACACGCGAAATAGTCGCTTAAAATTAGATTTTTGCATCATCAAGTAGAAACGATGGTATCATAGAACCCATTTTGGTATGTCTCTACACACTATGTTTGGAAATATTTTCGTGTTTATTTCTTTAAATTATTAATACTGTGTTCTTTCTTTCTATCTACTGTTTTTGACTGTACTGACACGTATCTTCTATCTATTTTGGTTTACTTGTAATAATTATTACTATACAGTCTACATATAAGAACTTTATTCCAAATTTGAACGAACAGTTTCACAGTATTTGAATGCCGATTTAGTGTGTGATATTTAGCAAGAATAATGTATTTTTAAAGTTTTAGAGGTTGAATTTTAAGCAAATCGTTTACAGTTAACGAAACACAAAACAGCGAAGCAATATGCATTACAGTTGATGTCAGTTGGTGAATGAAAATTCCAATCTCTTAACTATTGCTTTAAGTACCTAATTCTAACAAGAAGTCATATAAGGGCAATGAAAACCTGCTTCTACCATTCTGAGTGTTCGAGATGAAAAGCCTATGTCCAGTGTAGGGAGTTTATATAGTTATATGTTAGATCTACAAACAAATAACCTGAGGAAGACATCAATTTACTTACTGTTTGCATAAAACTGGTTCATAATTCACGATTTTATTGTATGCTAAAGTGGTATTGGTTCCTAACCACACAATCTTTGGAGCCGAACATACGATGACTGAGAAGATTTATGTTAAACGCTTAACACTTAGAGAAGGTCAGATATAGTGAACTCAGAAGGACTCAACCGGTATGACCAGGCTTGGACATGCGGGGATAGTCACTCCGTATTCTTTCTTTCATCTCATGTTAAGTTTATAACTCTATCCCAAAACTCAAAAGAGTTCATCAAAAGTCTTGGACAGCATATTGCAGACTGTAACGACAGGACGAGTCAATAAAGACGATGGTGTGACTTCCACATAGGATCTAATAGATTGCGTGGTCTCATTATAGAAAATCTACTGCCTTATAATTAGGTCTAGTATTCTAGTAGCAATTAATATTGATCTAGACACTAGTTTTGCAAGTGCTTTGTAACGTTCAGAGAACGATGAAAATCCCTCTGCAGTTTTTTGTTGGATAGTACTGTCATTTATTTGTTTCTTCTCCCTGTCGTGTATTTTAACCTTTGTTCAGATCTCGTTTAAACTCACCTTTTGTTCTTCAGTGATCCTCGTTTGAACTTTTATTACATGATTTCGATTAAAGACTTATCTTTTGTCACCTGATTTCCTGTTGCATGTTGCCGGACTATTGACAGTGAGGTCGTGTTTGACTAAGCTCAAGGTCACGGCGTGATTCAGTGCGTGACTGTCTACGTGGGAGGATTACTGGAGTCCATGCAGATAGATATTTGATCCCATTTTGTTGGGAATATTTTTATTGCTTCTCAGGTATCGGACCCTTTGGTATTAACTGTTTCTTTTATTGTTTAGCGCGCTACTTTGCGCGAGAGAAACTTCTGACTGTATAGCACAGGCTGTACCGTTTGATGTATTTTGTATTTTTGATGTAATTTGTGCTTTTCTAAATTAGAACCGTTTAAATTGAGCACAGAGTTTGTGTTTCGATATAATTTAATACGAGTGTCTCAAATACGCTATACAGACGAACGTAGTCTGGCCTATTCGAATAAATTTTGGTTCGTCGGTCCTGCGTTCAAACCGAATAGTGGCATTTCGGTCGTTACCGCTTAGTTGTATGTTTTCATTGACTTCACATTTCCAATAATCTTACTTGAGTAATTCATTTGTAAGTCCATGTTGTAAATTATTGACCGTACCACAAAGGTAACGTGAGCCTGCTGTCAAAAATAAATTACAATTAACATCGTAGCTACCGAAATACCAGTATTCGGGGTAGATGCAGAACTAATGAACTAAAGTTTATTCGATTAGGCTAGACCACATTCTTCCATATAGCATACGAAGCGTTTTTGAGTGACTCAAATTAAATCATATCAGAGCACAAACCCTGCGTTCAATTTAAACGGTTCTAATTTAGAAAAGAACAAATTATATCAAAAGTACAAAATACTGCAAACGGTATAGCCTGTGTTATATATTCAAAGCTTTCTCTAGCACAAACTAACATACCAGACGACAGAAGGAATAGTTATTAAGCAAGGGTTAGATACCTGATAATCCATAAGTATATTCGTAACACAGTGGAATAAGAGATCTATCTGCGAGCATTCCGGCAACTTTTTCAAGCAGACTGTCAGAGGTTAACAGTCATACACTGAAACACGCCGTGACCCTGAGATTAGTCAAACACGACCTTGTTGTCAGTGGTCCTTCCTGGTAACATGATAGCTGCTTGTTTCAGTGAGAGCATTGCTCCGAGACAAAACTATCAATTTCAAATCAATAAATGTTGGGTTCCAAAAAGTTCTCAGTATCAGCAGGAATAATGGGGATGAGTTGATGAACTGCCTTTATTGGACGTCACAGCGGACCCAAAACAGTTTCTTAACACCGAGATTTGTGTGCGGAGAAATCATATGGTTGGCGATATTTACGAACACTTGGATAATGTAATGTCTTCGTAATCTTTCTTATAAAACAACAGTGAAGCGACTGGAATCATCTCTTTAAGCGAACACAAGTACTCATGATAACTTCGTGGTGACTTTCAGATTACTGATTATTCTTCGTTTTTCTTGGCTTGTGGAAAAGGTGAATTCGAGTGATGTAAAAAAAATAATACAGGCCAAGAACTAGGTGCTTGTTACTTGATTAAGAGCTATAGTACTTATTCGTCAATAACTGTGACTCTGTCTCGCCTAGTTACAACTGCTCTCCACATAGACTCATTCGAAAGGGGATAAGCAAACCGAGCCTGTAGCCCATGTTTTATCTCCAGTAAAATACAGATCCCACCTAACGTATGTAGTAATATGACTAATCCCATTTGTATAGCAATGGTATTAATACGCCAGACACGTATCCAATACATTAAAATTCACAGTCAAACTGTGAGCGTAAAATGAATGTCTAAAACATCAACTCCAAGTACGATACCTAAAATTGGGCCCAGTGTTATTTAGATAGACAATGAATAATCCAAGCAATAAACAGGCATTTTGCAGGAGAATTTAAGACATTTGGCCGATTGAAAGCCGTTGTGTTGGATAATAATTTCACCGTTCTTGCATATATTTATATTACTCAACTTCCAAACCTGTTTGTTTACATCTCCGACTTCGTAAATTTTGGTTTCACTCTGTGGTTGTTCTGATATTTGAAAGTTTTTGCTCCGGAAATGTAAACAAATAAAGGTTGGCTTCGTAATCGTTCGATTTATTATTAAAACGAGTTTTTCTTTAATTAATTGTAATTTACGAAGATATTAAGGTCCCTTGAAAGCGAAAATAGTTCACTTAGGCTTCCAAACGAATTCACAATAATGGAGAGTTGGGCAGCAGACAATTGGGTAAATTTAACTGGCCAAAATATCTGGCCATGAACACTCAGACCCGTTGGACACAAACAACTTAAATTCCCATGAAAACCCGCTCTCGACTGTCTTCTCAGAGTACGACCTAGGTATGATAAATACAGAGTTTGGAAACCAGCTGAGTATACATTGGAGATGTAGTCAAAAGAAACGCAACTCTTCACTTTATGCCTATAAAACATAATACATTTACCCTGAGTCGTTTCTAGCACTGTTCAAAACTTACTAACGCCCTCTCCTTGAAGTCCACAACGTAGTTCCTCCTACTCTCTTCAAAAGGGACGTATATATCTTGGACCAAGTACAGAAACAGGCAACTTAGTGGGTTATAAGGTAAATGAACAAATCCTACGTAGTTAAACTCAAACAAATGGGATTGTTGTAACTGAGCAGTAGAAAAATTGGGGATTACCTGATCACGATTTACAACATATAACGTACACCAAGGTTCTCCAACATGAATCCCCTCGAGGCAATACCAGAAAATCGTGCGTTAAAGAGCAAAAACACGGGTACGCTCTTACCTGTCATTAACCGTTCTCTTTACTTCGAATGAGCTCCCAGCAGAAGTGACCGCAGATATTTCAGTCAATAGCTCCAAAATAAAATTCAACAAACAAGTACTAACTAGTATATTACTATCTCACGCTTGGACTAGCTGTGACTGACTCATGTGTCGTAACTTACTGTCACTGTGGAGTGTGCTACTTATATCGATGTAAGTAGTATATTATGCGAGTCAGGAACGTAATGTCTGGCAGCAGAAGATGAGGGGAAGATCAAGAAAAGAAGAGCGAGAACACGATGGAATTTGTTAAAAAACGCATGAGCAATCGAATAGGAGACAATGGATTGGTGTTTGCAACAGAAACAGTCCAGTTTGATATGATGCATTAATATTTTGCAAATTGACTATTTACTATATGGTATTCAGATTTTATTGGAATAGTCTGTTACTTTCGTGCTAAATACATTCGATTGTCCCCACCTGTGTTCTTGTTCACTACATCACCATCATTACA